CGTCGTGGTGGTGGTGGTAGTATTAGTAGTAGTAGCAGTAGCAGTAGCATCAGCAGTAGCAGTAGTTGTAGTTGTTGGTAGTAGGTAGTAGGTAGTAGGTAGTAGGTAGTAGGGAGTAGGGAGTAGGGAGTAGGGAGTAGGGAGTAGGGAGTAGGGAGTAGGGAGCAGGGAGCAGGAGTAGGAGTAGTAGTAGGAGTAGTAGTAGTAGTAGCAGTAGCAGTAGCAGTAGCAGTAGCAGTAGCAGTAGCAGTAGTAGTAGTAGTACTACTACTACTACAACACTACAATAACAACTACTACTACCACCACCACTACTACTACTACTGCTACTACTACTACTACTACCACCACAGCTACAACAACAATATCAACTACACCACATTACACTACACCGCACTAATTACATTGCAGTACACTACAACTATACGTACAAATGCATCAACTACAGTACTACACTACATTGCACAACGCTACACTACGCTACACTAACTTCACTACATTACGCTACAATTGCAGCTGCAACTGCAACTACAATTCTAGCTACTACTCAAGTGCACTACACGACGCTACACCAATTACACTACACCACACTACAACTACAAATACACTACCTTACACTACACCAGGCTACACTACACTATACCACATTACAGCACACTACAATACAGTACATTACAATACACTACACTAATTACACCACAACTACAACTACAACTGCAACTGCAACTACAACACACTTGTTACACATTACAACTACAACTCCACTGCGCCACACTACAACTACAACCGCACTACACCACACTTCATCCAGCAGTTCTGGGTGAGTTGACCACTGCAACCATTACAACCACTCCAAAAACCACAACTTCAACCACCTTTCGGTCCATCAGCGGATTCGCTCCGCCATCCGTGATTCACAACAACCAACCTCTCCTATAGGTTTACTATTTTTGAAACTTCCGCCACCGCCTTGTGCGGTACTACTGGTAGTTCCCCACGAACTACTATTACGTGGAAACCTTTTCTGCCACTAAATTAGTATCCGGAAGGCTTCTCTGCCACTAAATGAATATCCGAAAACCTTTTGTGCCACTAACTGAATATCCGGGAACCTTCTCTGCCACTAAATAATTTTTCTGCCGAAACCCTGTCTGCAACTAAATGAATATCCGGGACCTTTTTCCATTTCTGCCACTAAATTAGTATCCGGCCGGAAGCCTTGTCTACCACTAAATAAATATCCGGAAATTTTCTCTACCTTTAAATTAATATAAGGAAACTTCTTCGGCTACTAAGATTGATATCCGGGAACCTTTTTTTCTGCCACGAAATTAATATCCGGGGCCGGGGTGCTTGGGGGGGAAGCTTTGAAACAACAGTTTGGCCCCATTTTTCCTTTTTCGCGGAACTCGCCACGGCCAAAGTAGTAGTTCGCCCCCCCGAACTACTATTACTTTGGAACTTTTTCTGCCACGAATTTAATATCCGAAAGCTATTCTGCCACTAAATGAATATCTGGGAACCTTTTCTGCCACTAAATGAAATATCCGGGAGCCTAATCTGCTACTAAATGAATATCCGGAAGCATTCTCTGCCACTAAATGAATATCTGCCACCAAATTAGTATCTGGGAACCTTTTTTCCCACTAAGTTAGTGTCCGAAAACTTTTTCGGCCTCTAAAGTAATATAGTATCCAAGGCCGGGGTGCTCCGGGGGGTGCTTTCAAAGAACAAAAACTCGGCCCTTTTCTTTGGGCAGGGCGCGGAACAACAACAACAACTCTCTATAGAAGTAATATTAGTTCCGCCCTTTCCCCCCGGAAAAAATGCAAAGTCCAAGTTCTTCGAATTGAACTATTTCCTCTGGCGCGTCCTGCAACACTTTCACACTCCATAAGAACCCTGCCCAACTTACCTGCTCTTATGGAAAGTAAAAAAGTTCTGTAGGGCAGTGAGGTCCAAAAGAAAAAACACACAGACACAAACTTCCGCAGTCCTTGTAAGTTGGGAGCAATTGACAAGCTGCGCAAAGCTGTGCAGTGCAGGACAAGCTGCAGAGTTTGGCTCTGGGATGTTCAATTCCTCCAATTGCCGCTTGACCTGCACGGCCAGAAACATGCAAGTCGCCCAATTTTACTCCAATTATATAGTCCAAGGAAGCCAAGGTGAAGGCTCAAGGCACCGCGCACTTGACCCATCGTTTGCACCAAACTGCAAGAAGCCAACCGATGGTTGGCAGCAAAGGCTAAAAAACGTGGTGTCAGTAAGACTGGGCAGTTTGAAGAACAGTCGTAAAATTCTTGTCACACTATAACCTGGTGAAGATTTGCTCCTGTTCAAAACTCATGTCTTTCAAGGCTAGATTGCACAACACTTGAGGCGAGTCGACCTGTCTAGTCAAGAACGTGGCCTTCCAAACAGAGTCCCAGCAATCTGCTGTGATGGCTAGGCACACCATTAGCCAATGTGGCTCTCTCTGTTCATATGATCTCACGCAAGACCAGCACGGCCCATGGCAGCCCGCAAAAAGAAAACTGGAGCCCGAAGAGCTGAGATGAATTGAATAGGAGTGCGGGCTAAATCCGGCGAAGGAGGAGTGTATCTGGCCAACTTAGGTGATATAGCGATGACATATATACCTTTTTGACTCAGGTAGGTCCATCGCACGTTTTTCTTGCGGATATGTGCCCCTAACTAAATTCCCAAATCTGCAAAGCCTTGTTCACGCTTCCTGCCTGGAAGGAACCGTCACACCATCTGGCTTTCACGATGGCATTGCGCACTTCCCTCGGACAAGGAGGCTGAGAAGAGAGAGAAGAGAGAGAAGAGAGAAGAGAGAGAGAGAGAGAAAGAGAGAGAGAGAGACAAAAAGAAAGAAAAATAATTACTTTACTTCGTGTGATCCCCACCATGACATTTATACATTTTCTTACTGGCAAATCTTCTGGCATTCTATCTGACATATCTTCTGGCAAATCTTCTGGCATTCTATCTGGCATATCTTCTGGCATTCTATCTGACATATCTTCTGGCATTCTATCTGGCATTCTATCTGGCATATCTTCTGACATATATTCTGACATATCTTCTGGCATTCTATCTGGCATTCTATCTGGCATATCTTCTGACATATCTTCTGGCATTCTATCTGGCATTCTATCTGGCATATCTTCTGGCATATCTTCTGGCATATCTATCTGGCATATCTTCTGGCATAATTTCTGGCATTCTATCTGGAAAATCTTCTGGCATTCTATCTGACATTCTATCTGGCATATTATCTGGCAAATCTTCTGGGATTCTATCTGGCATATTTTGTGGCATTCTATCTGACATTTTATCTGGCATTCTATTTGGCATACCTTCTGGCATTCTATCTGGCATATCTTCTGGCATTCTATCTGGTATATCTTCTGGCATTCTATCTGGCATATCTTCTGGCATTCTATCTGGCATATCTTCTGGCATTCTATCTGGCATATCTCATGGCATTTTATCTGGCATATCTTCTGACATTCTATCTGGCATATCTTCTGACATTCTTTCTGGCATATCTTCTGACATTCTGTCTGGCATATCTTCTGACATTCTTTCTGACATTCTTTCTGGCATTCTATCTGGCATATCTGACATCTTTTCTGACATCCAGTTGCCTGGAAGTCGCGGTTGAGGTCCGGCAGTGCCCACTGCGATCTGGAAGTCGCGGTTGAGGTCCGGCAGTGCCCACTGGGATCTGGAGCTCGCGGTTGAGGTCCGGCAGTGCCCACTGCGACCTGGAAGTCGCGGTTGCAGTGCCCACTGGGATCTGGAGCTCGCGGTGGAGGTCCGGCAGTGCCCACTGGGATCTGGAGCTCGCGGTGGAGGTCCGGCTGTGCCCACTGGGATCTGGACTGCGAGGAGGAGGCGGCGGGTGAGGAGGCGGAGGAGGCAGGAGGAGGAGGAGAACAGCTCTGATAAAATCTAACAACCCTCACCTGGCAGGTGGGGAAAAAATGAAATAAAATAAAATAGACATAAAATTAAAGGACCGGACAACCCACAAGTCAGCTCCTTCCAATAATTACAAACAGGGGTTGAAGCGGTACGGCGAAGGGAAGAAAGACAAAGGACATGGTGGAGGATCGCAAATTTCACCATGTAGTATGTGAAAGGGTTGTGTGTGAGTGTGAAAGAGCAGTGTGTGAAAGAGTTGCGCGTGAGAAAGTTATGAAAGAGTTGCGTATGAGTGTGAAAGAGTTGTGTGCGGAAGACTTGTGAGAAAAATGCGTGTAAAAGACTTGTGTGTGAAAGGGCTGCGTGTGAAAAAGTTGTGTGTGTGTGTGAAAGCGCTTCCCGTCCCACGTTGGGTCCAAGTCGCCCTCCCAAGCGACGCGGTTGAGTGCAGGGCAGGACGTTCGGCAATCACAAGGCACAAGGACCTTGCAGGAGGCAAACTGACTGGCCAGTGCCCCCATGTGTGCCCAGCAAGGCGCAAATCATTAGCCCATTGCCATTGCCCTTGCTGTCATACTTGGTTAGAAGCAAGCGTCGGCCCCAAAGCGCACAAGTCCGCGTCATCCCGCCACCGGCCAGCGAGACAATATGTCGCGCTAATTGGTACAGGAGCACGCAGCAAGACATGAAACGTAACAGAGACGCGTGCTCAAACGAAGGACAGCGGACACAGGCGCAGTGGCGTGAAACCCAGCGATGCAAGTGCTTTTTCCCACGTTGGGTCAAAGCCACCACCACTGAATTTAGATTCACCGCCGTAAACGGCACCATGCAAATACTTCTTCCCACGTTGGGTCAAAGCTAGCACGGATAAAACGAAGACTCACTGTCTCTAGGTGAAAGCTACGTCATCGGCCCGATGATCACGAAGAAGTTGGGATAGGCACCTGGCTGCAAAGCAACTGTGGATGCACTGATATGCACTGACAGGCAAAGATATGCGTGCAAGTGAGATAAGATAGGTTCAATACGCGCATCGTGCTGGTAATACCATCAACTGCCACAACATGAAACACCATGAAGAAACCAGCCATCCATATATAAGATTATATAAGTGCAAGGCTCTCGAAACAAGACATGACAAGGGCAAACTAAACTCAGTGCCTCTCGCAAATGAGTTGTGTTTTTATGTGTTGTTTATCCTTGCCTTCTGATGACCAATAGCCAATAACATATACAACCTACACAAATGTCTATGCCGAGCCTACACCATTGCATGAGGTAGACTACGTATGGTTTTGAGGGGTGTCTACGCGAGATTACGCGAGCCTACGCGGTGTAGGCTTTGCCTACACACAACAAACCAAGGCAAAACGAATGAGTTCTAACTCTTGCCAACGCGTGTCTGCACAAAGCCTACGCGGCACGGCGCCCGGGCGACCACTGCGGACCCAAGCGCGCCACCAGACCCAGCCCAGTGCTGTAGCCTGCCACGCAAAACGAAGGTCGATGTCACCAAGTGCCACGCCTGCCACGCCAAACGGCTGTCAATGTCACCGAGTGCCACACCTGCCGCGCAAAGTGACACGGCCACCACACCCAGCCCAATACTGTAAGTGCCACAACCCTTCATACATGCATGCAGCCACTAGCTTCACACAGACAAGCATACTTGTTTCTCCCATGATCTGTAACACATAGCTACCTACCCAGTTGGCAACTGGATCTGGCCAACCAGTTACCAACTGGGCAGCACATCCCCAACCAAAGGGTGTTGCAGATCATTGGGGCTCAACATGCAAGCAGGCGCCCAAACTACAGGGTTGAGACACAAGGATAGCAAGTCAAGGAGAACAAGTGAGCACACTTACGGCAGTTCGGCTTTCCACGGTGTTTCTAAGAAGGCTCGCACGTTAATCTGGCATCTAAGGCAGGGACTAAAATGCGGTGGGATTATATTATGGCTTAGGGAATCAGCCCACTCATTGCGACATCCAGCAACGTGGCTGCACGACAAAGCAACACCTAGGCGGCAGCAGTGGAAACCTAAACAGCTGCTCCATTGACAGCATCTTGAAAGTGGAGTACATCACACCGAGGTTGTCACATAATTAGGCCAATTTTAGCACAAGCGATCCGTGTCGGTCACCAAATTGGCAGCGCAGGCAGAGCAACACCAATTGGGCCAGTGCTTCGAATGCGGATATGCAAGCTTGCCAAAGATGATGACTCTGACTCTGAAGAACAAAACCAAGTGGGAAGATCGGCACGTTCAAATTGAATGCTAAACCAACGAGCAGATGACGGCGTCGCTGCACAACCAGACGGCCACCACCAGCACCAATACCTGCTGAATTTTCATCGGCCCAAGCGTCAGCTGCTGCAAACTCGAGCGGTGCTTCTGCTAAGCACATATGACATAGGAACCCCTGCGTGGGACTGCATTGCTTTTTTAAGAGCTGGGCTGCCCACGCTGCATTTTTGTCGGAAGAGGTGCGGGGGTTTTCGTAATCATAAAAGATTAGGCTGATCTGGCCGTTGCGCGACTTGGGAGTCACAAAGCTGCTACTTTTACGAGAAGAAACCTGGCAATTGTTTATGGAATGCAGGCGCCACTTTAGGCAAACATCACAACAACGCACATGCTCCGTAACAACCAGATTTGCGTCTAGAGCTTGTACAAATTCTGAGAATCGGGTGAAATTTACTAAGCGGGGAATCGCCCTAGGCTTAAAAAGAATCTTGTAAAGTGGTTCAAGCCAAGGCTTAAGCCAACCGCACCCTCCGGTGAACCATAGCAACATGCTGATGACACGCTCAACCGTACACCGCTCCAACCTGGCCTTTGGGTCACAAACTTGATCAAGTAAAGGCATAATTTTGATAATTGTTTGGATCTGGTATGGTCACACGCAAGTTACGCAAGCCGAACTGCCATCCCAACCAAATGAACTTTTGGCCCAACGATAATTTTTCCCAGGACAGAGGCACACCCAATGCGCAAAGAAACATGGTACCACAGCAAGCCAAGAGTGATACGACGGGACTGGGTAGCAGACAAAAAACAATCGTCAACATAAAGAAAAGCGGCGTGCGCAATATAGAAAAAACGATGTAATAACCTCAAGATGAAACTGCCGGCGCGAGAAAACCAAAATGCCGACCAACGGGCCCCAAAATAACAGCAACGATAAACGAACCATCTCCCCTGGAACGTAAAACACTGGAACCCTTGCTCGTCCCTAGCTACTTTCACTAGCTTGTGTGCCCCCCGCACATCCCAAGTCCAAGCGGTCCAACTTGTGCCTGAGTTGGCCGACACGAACCTTTGGACAGATTCAAGATTGGGCAACCGCACTTCTGAAATTTGGGAAGCGGCTTTGGTTCCAGAAACTGTCCCATCTCCTATGAGACGCGGCTTGCGGCCTTCCGCACAAACAACACCAAACTTACCTGCTGCTACTTTTGTCCTCCATAGTGCTCTGGCTTCCTCTTCACCGCCTAGAAGTTCAAAAAGGTGTCCAGCCTTAAGATCCTTTTCAATGAGAGACCAGGTAAGTTCGGGGG